GGGGGTCGGGTAGCCCCGCGGCGGGGGTCCGGGGGTGAAACCCCTACCCCGGCTTGGGCCCCGGGGATCCCCGCGTGACAACCGTGGTCCCAGGTCCCAGGCCCTGCACAGAAGCGGTTACCCCTCGCGCGGAGATTGAGTCTACTGGCTCACACGACGCGGTTCCGGGGAAACAGAGGCGCCGCGAGGATGAGGGGCTTTCCCCCGGCAACTCGGTCCGGCGGGGCGTTCAGGTTTTCTTCTGCTAGCGTCAAATGTCCTTTTTATTTTTCCTTGTTGTAATTTATTTTGGTGGAACGATAAAGTTCTGGGCGGAAGGTTTAGCGTGCCGCTGGTGGTGCGCCAGACAACTCACCACCGCTCCGAATTCCTTCCTGCCCTAGGGACCATCTTACCCCGCACCCCTTAGGACACCTCAGGGTGCTGAAGATGGTAAGGCCCTCAGGTCGGTTTTGCGCTCGCTAAAGGTTTACCCCCCCTTAGCGCGCACTTCAGCCGACGCCTGAGCGTCGAGAGCGACCCCATGGCTCAGATAAGGCCACTCGGGTATGGGCACCACATAATGCATCGTCATCACGACTGCTTACGTATGACTGCATTGTTCGTCGGTATTCCTGCATCCGCGCGGTTTTATATTAAACCACACATGCAGCACTTACCGATTTCCGCGCTTGAGAGTTATGGGTCAAGCGGACAGGGCAAAAGCGCATTATGGCCAGTAGACCCGAGTTGTGGTAGCGGGAAACGACGCGTGAACAAGGTACCAGTCCTAGTCGGCCTATGGGGATCCGCGTACGAGCCTCCAACGTCTCGAACATCGGGTTGCCTATGGGTCTGATTTTGGGCATCATCCGCCCGCATCTTTCGTGTTGGCCTACCCCTTCTATTTGATGGGCCTTTCAGACTATACAAAGGGGAATATGGGCTAGGCAGAGAGAGAAAAGGGGGTGAGCCTCTTTCGCTATCTGCGGTTGCTTCCTCCTTTGAGTTTTCATAGTTGGACGTTGTAGTCCGTGGCAGCCGTCAAAGTCAAACCCCTTGATTTTTGGCTACCACAACAGTGAAGTTGTCTACCCAGCCCCTCTGCACAGGGTGCAGAAGAGGGTGTGGTCTTCAACCGCGCATGGCGGTTGTCTAGCGCAGAGAGGGTAACTCCTCAAAGCGCTGGTCGGCCGACACTTGAGTGTCGAACACTACCCTCGAGGTTGTCAAGGGTCGCACGGTTGCGAGTACTACGTAGTACCCCATCATCACGAATGCTTGCGTAGGCCCCCATGGCTGGTCGGTATGAGGAGGTCATGCGCACGTGCGACTCTTATGCGAAAGTCCAGCCCGCGATACCTATCTGATTCTCGCTGCATAACATTATGGGTCGGATACTGAAGGGACTAGGAGTGTTGTTTGTGGTGCTTGTTTTGTGTTTTTTCATGAGTTGTGTAGATGTGAGTGTTGTGGTGTAACGTGTGGTGTGTGTGATGTGTCCTAGTCGACCGGCGCCGAGTCGCGTTTGGGACCTCAGCCCCCCAGTGTGTCGATTCGCATTCGGGTTCGATTTTTTGGGCGTTCGACCGCGCGTACCCCCTATGCTACAGCGAACGAGAAACACCCTCGACTGGGCCACCTCTGCAATTGCATACGAAAAGCCTTCGCATGTGGTCCAGTAGCTCGGCGGGGATACGCCCACCTAAGGGATGGTGACAGCTCCCGCAGGTGGAGGTAAGCGGTGCCTTGCGTGACCCTGTCCTGTCGTAGGGGCTCGCGAGAGGTACGACTGGCGCACTCGGCCGGAGCGGCAAATGCTCTCCGCGACAAGTCCTGCAAAATCCTGCGTGACGAGGCCGGGAGGGTCCCCGTGCGGGACCGATGCGCTCGACAGGTGGCGCCGTTGCCGGGGATCTCGACTGCCTACCGGGGTCCTTAAGAGAATGAACCCAGGTTAAGGGCAGGCTGATGATCTAGGCAAAACGACAAAAACGTATGGTTTGGATTGTCTTATATAGGAGAATCGTGTATGATATAGTAATAGGAATAAGCGATTAGGAGTGCGACTGAAGGTTGTATCTGAGGTGTTGAATAACTAATAATAGAGTGGGTAGCTGAACCTAGAGATGGAACGACTAGATATGACTTGGAACAAGTCCCTTGAAACTTAACAAAGCTGCCTGATGGGCTATCTTTTTTATTTTTACCTGGTTGGTTAGCACAAGGATATAAAGATGCCGGACGCAGATGGAATCGAGCGAGGCCCGGCTGCTACGCCGGAAGACTTCGTCAAAGCCATTGAGAAAAGGGAGTTGCCACGGCTGCAAGTGTCGAAGGTTGGCATGTTCTGGTTTGAAGGGGAAAGGGTGTCTAAATGGCTAGAGTTGTTGGAACAGGTTACAGGCGAGGCATCGGATGAAGACAAGTTCAAGTTACTACCCAGACATATCTGGTGGGAAATCCGGCCCGAGATAATGAAGGTGGCTGCTGGAGCAGGGGGAGATTGGGCCAAGTTCAAAGGGGAGATGCAAAGGCGTTTCAAGCTGGGGGATGGTCTGCTAACAAAGGCAGACCTAGAAATGTTGCAGCGCGATGAGTTTACTACCGTGGGGGCTTTCGCAACAACATTTGAAAAGATGGCGCGAAAGGTTCCAGGGATGGCAGAGGAAAAGCAGTGTGCAACCTTCCTGGGGCACTTCACAAATTGGGAGGCATCTGCGCTGACCAAGAAGGGTGTGTCGGGGAAGAAGTTAACTTGGGATGCCATAAAAGAAAGCGTGATAGACGGGGAGTTGGACCAGGTTGACATCTTCCAGATGCGGCAAGCCAGGAAGAAAAGAAAGGCTTTGGATGCCACGACGAGCGACGGGCGAGACTTCAAGAAGATGGTAGAGGATGCGGTAGCCCAACTCGATGCGGCGAAGGAGGCAAAGGCAACGAGAAAGGCTATGGCGGCACCACAGGCCCAAGGAAAAGCTAAAAAGGCGTTGGTGCAAGAGGAGAAAGAAGAAGAGGAAGAGGAGCCTGAACCTCTAAAGCTAACAAAAGCTCAGAGGAAGGCAAAAAATCTGACTCAAGGGGGGCAAGGCTCAGGAAAGGGTCAGGTCCCGCAAGCAACAGCGCTACCACCCCCTGAGTCGCATGGTCAGGCCGCGCCAACGCCCTATGGGCTGTGGTAGGGTTATGGACCTCCAAGTCCTTGGCCTGGGCACTGTTCATATGTGCCATAGCCGGTGAGTGGACCGCATGGATCATGTGCGGGAGCGCCACTGAGCGTGGCTTCCTGCGGGTGTCCAGGGCCCCAGTCTCAACAAGTAAGCCACCCGATCCCGCAGCCAAGCCAACCTCAACAGTGGGCACCACAAGGATCGCAAGGAAACCAAGGCGGCGGACGTGGATAGAGTCAAGGATGGGGCCGAGGGCGAGGAAATGGTGACCGCGGGGGAAATGGAAGGGGAAATGGTGGTGGTAACTCCACAGGAGGAGGAAATGGGGACTGGAATGCGTCAGGAAGTCAGGGTAGTCAAGAGGGTGGACGAGGCTTTGGTAGAGGAAGGATAGACTGGAGGAATGCCATTTGCTGGCATTGTGGGCAGAAAGGACACACCATCAAATTCTGCCATGTCCGCAGGAATGACGAAGATGAAGGATTAATCAGTACCAATTATGATGGGGATATGTATGACAAATTTGGATACTACATTCACCCAAAGACCCCTGGCGGAACGAGGAAGGAAGCCCTACGACGAGCCGAGGCAGACATGCCACCCGCTTCTCCGACTATGTTCCGGATTTGGCAAGAGAAGGAGGTCCGATGTGACATAAGGGTGGAAGAAGTAGGAGAGAACGAGGAGGTGGAGCAGGGAAGGAACGCCGACACCATCGAAGAAGAGTCGATCGTAATAGAGTCTGATGATGAGATAAAGGAAGGTTGTTGGAACGAATCACGAAAAACAAGGATAGGGGAAGATTGTTGGAAGGAGGCCCGACAAACGATGGAAAAAATGGTGGACTCAGTAGCTAAAGTCAGGATATACCAGCAAAAACTGGCCGATATGTGTGAAGAGGTCAAGGAGTGGAGAGGTAAGGAGCCACTGGTGTACCTCTACGATATGGGTCCAGGGTCGCAAGGTGGGTCTGGAAATTTACCAGGCGTTACGATTTCAGGGTCGACGCCTCGGTCCAGCATGGCTTATAGGCCACCCTCCAGATCGGGGAGGGTACCGCATGCTGTCAGGACAAGGGCCAAAGGGCCGGTGAGCCCCGAGGAGCCGGCAAAGAATGTTACCGAGCCTAGTGGGGAGAAAGAGGTTGTAGATGTTCCAGGGGAAGAGGAGGATAAGGACGACAGGTTGAGAAAAGAAGAGGACGAGAAGGCTGAGCAAAGGGCCAAAAAGAGAGGCGCCAAACCTGATACGGACAAGTCCTCAGAAGGAAAGAAAAAGAAGTACGTTGTTCGAGTAGAGGAAGGATTTGATGTAGAGGAGATAATGGACAGGATCCTTGAGGGTCATAATCATCTTATGAACCTAAAGGACGTCCTGGCTTTGGCGCCAAGGCTCAGGGATGAGCTGAAGGCGCGGTTATCTAGAAAAATGGTGGCTAGTGTGCGATTAGGGACCATAATCCCTAAAGAAGCGGAATGGGCTGAGACTGGAACAAAGATGGATTGGAAGTCTGTCGCATGTGGGTGCCTTGATGTAGTGATAAAAGGAAAGACTTGCACGACGATGGTGGATACTGGCGCAAAAATGAACCTCATAAAGGAGGAGCATGCTTTGCGCTTAGGGATGGAGATAGATCGCTCCGACAACGGGGTCTTGATGGGGGCAAATAGTCAGTCAGTATTCATAGGGACCGCATCGGCAGTGATCTTGGAAATTGGGAAAGTGAAAGTAAGGAGTTGCTTTTTCGTAATGCCTGATCTTGATCACCCCATTCTACTGGGTAGATCGTTCCTGAGTCGAACAGAGACTGTCATACTTAACAAGCATGACGGGACTATGTTCCTCGTTTTGTACGATCCGGTGTATGACAATTATGAGGTTGTCACTTGCAAGAATACAAGACCTAGTAGTGTAAGGAATCGGCCCAACCCTGGTTCTTTCACAATTGAAGAATCAGAAGAGGAAAGATTGAGGATTGGAGGCAGTAAGTTTGAAGAAGAAAGAGAGCCAGAAACATTGACCCTTAGCTTGGCGAGTATAGGTGATGCTATGGACATAGTGTCGACCTATGGGATGGCGGACCCAGAGGCTATGGAAGCCTTGAGGGAGAAGGTGGTGGAACAAATGGGAGAAGGAGAAATGGAATTGGTATATCGAACGCCGGGAAGGATAGGTGGAACAATTGGAGCACAGCCCCAAAGCGCAACTCGGCCTTTTTTAGGGGTAGGCTCAAGCAGGGGTCACAAAGGCGGTACAAAAGGGTAGATCGAAAGTGCCGCCCTGTTCCCTAACTCGTTGCTGAAGAGCAAGAAGTTTACTACGAGCGGGAGTGAGAGATGATACGGCAGATGCAAGAAGACGCAGAAAATAGGCCGTGCCGTATCACTCCTGAGACAGAGAAAGCGCTAATTATAGGGGAGCCTGGCTTCCTTACAGCGCAGGAAGAGAAACTTATGGTGGAAACCATAAGAGGAAGGCACGCTGCATATGCCTTCAGTGATGATGAGAGAGGTCGTCTGGACGTGGACATAATCCCAATGATTAGGATACACACCGTACCTCACGAGCCATGGAACTTGCGAGGTGCGCGATATCCTAACCCAACTGATGAAGAGAAGGTAGTCAAATACCTTGATGGGAAAATCCGCACACATGTGGCAGACTACTCGAGTGGACCGTATGCATCCCCCTGGTTTTGCTTTGTCAAGCCCAATGAGACTTTGAGGTGGGTACAGGATTTGCAGCGCTTGAACGATGTAACAGTAAGGGACGCAGGTGGTCTCCCTAACGCTGATGCGCTTTCAGAAGCCTGCGCTGGGAGAGCCATAATATCTCTCATAGACTTATATTCGGGTTATGATCATTTTCTTATACACCCATCAGATAGACCAATGACGGCTATGCATACCCCTCGAGGGTTGATTCACATGAACGTCGCACCGCAAGGGTGGACGAATGCGGTTGCCATGGTCCAGAGGCACATGGTGAGGGCGATGCAGCCCATAAGTCCTCACATTACGCAGCCCTTATATTGATGATCTGGCCGTGAAAGGGCCTAAGGAGAAGGATGAGCAAGAGATGATGCCGGGAATCAGGCGCTTTGTCTAAGATCAGTAGCTCGGCGGGGATACGCCCACCGAAGGGAGGTGACAGCTCCCGTAAGGTGGAGGTAAGTCGTGCCTCGCGTAGGCCCTATCCTGTCGTAGGGGCTCGCGAGAGGTATGGTTGGCGCACTGGGCCGGAGCGGCTTGCGGAAGCTCCATTATCTATTCGCGATGAGGATAAGACCAACTCTTGCGTGACGAGGCCGGGAGGGTCCCGCGCTGCCTTGTGTCGTGTCGGACCGATGCGCTCGACAGGTGGCGCCGTTACCGGGCATAACGGAAGCCTGCCGTTGCCCCTGGTGGAACGACATCCGGGTATAAGATTGAGAGAAAATAGGCATATAAGTAAAGATGGAGTACGTAACATCTTGCTAGGTTAATGGTAATAAAGGAGTTTTATTAATATAATAAGGTTAGCTCTGATTTGATTTATTGCCTGGGTTGGAAAATTATAAGGGAGACCCTGTAGGGAAGAATGGGGTTTATTAAGTCAAAAGTTCTATGGGAACGAAAATGGAGTAAAACCTGTTAGGTTTGGACCAAGGGCTAGCTATAGCAGGGGTCTAATGTGGAATGTGATAAGATCAGACTGCTGAATGAGGTGGTGTGTTCTTCTTAAAACAGGGAAAGTCGAGTAGGGATAACCTGCAGAGATGTCGCGGGCCATAGCAGACGGATCAGGAAAGGTTCTGACCCTCGACGATCTCATCGAAGCCTTAGACAGGCGAGAAAGGGCGCCAAGTAATGTTCCTAAGGTTGATACATTCCACTTTAATGGAGAACGGGTTTCTGATTGGCTGGATCTGGTCGAGCAGGCGATGGTGGGGCTGTCAGATGAGGTAAAGCTCCAGCGAATTCTGAAGTACGTGCTTCATGGGCATCATCAGGAAGTGGGAAAGGTTGTGGATGCCGCCAATGGTAGTTGGGCCAGGTTCAAGGATGGGATGCAGAGGAAGTACAGGCCGGGTGATGGCCTGTTAACCACTGCAGACCTTGAGGCAATGAACAGGGACGACTTCACCACTGTGGGAGCTTTCGTGCAGGAGTTTAAAAAGAAGGCGAGGAAGGTCCCTGGGATATCTGAGGAGGCGCAGTGTGCTATTTTCCTAGGATTACTCACTGCGTCGGAAGCATCAGAGCCGACGAGCCATGGAGGAGGGAGTGCGAAGCTCACATGGACCACTATCGACAAAGGGATTGAGGAGGGAAGTCTGGACCAAGTGGAGCAGCACCACATGCGCTTGCAAAGGCGAAAAAGGAAAGAACGAGATGCGATCGCTTCAGGGACCCCAGGGGTAAAGAGGATAGTCACCGACGTGCTTGCGGAGTTGGGATATGGAAAAGACGTGGTGATTCAAAAGAAAGTGGTGACAGCAGTCCAAGGCAAAGGGAAAGTTTCAATGGTAGAGGAAGACCTCCAAGAGGAGTGGGAAGAAGAAGAGTCGGTGCCTCAACATCTCTCGAAGGCGTTATGCAAGCAGCGCAATTTAGCCCGGGGGGGCAAGGCTCAGGAAAGGGGCAGGCGCCCCAAACAGTGGTAATCGCACCGCCCAGTGCATCGGCTCCGTCAAGTAGTGCGGGACCCTCGCAAGCGGCGGTACCACCATTCGGGCAGTGGCCATAACCTATGTAAAACACTTTTGTACCATGGGGAAGTCCAGCTCCGTCTGGGCAAATGGTACCATACGCTGGACCTCAAGCAAGTATGCCGCCTCCAAGTTATCCCGCCGCTCAGGCCCAACCCATGGCACCGCCTCCGTCGCCCGCACCTAGTTCACAAAGAAGTGTGGCTGGTGGAGGTAATCAAGGTCAGGGTAATCAAGGGAATGGAGGGAGAGGCGGTGGCAGAAATGGCGGTGGCCGAGGAGGTCAATGGGATAGCCAAGGTTACCAGGGTCAGGGAAATCAAGGTAATCAAGGGAGTCAGGGAAGTGGGAGAACCCGTTTCGATTGGAGAACCGCCCTATGCCAGCATTGCGATAAACAGGGTCATACCATACGGTTCTGCAATACTAGGCGGGACGATGAAAGAGTGGGACTGATATACTCCAATATGGACGGCGATATATAAGATCAGTTCGGGGATTATATTGACAGAAAGGTTCCGGGTGGAGTAAGGGCAGAGGCCCAAAGAAGGGTAGCTGCGCGGCAAGCGCCGCCTGCCACATTTAGATTGTGGCAGGAGAAGGATAACCCACCCATTAGGGTGGAAGAAGTGGAAAGTGATGAATAGGTAACTCAGAGGCTACGGGTGGGAGCCATAAAGGAAGAGCCCATAGTCGTTGAGTCAGATGAAGAGGACGAAAGTGAGAAGGTGGAGCACGCGTCAATCTTGCTAGGAAAGATGGAAGACCTGTTGGGAAAGATAGGGAGATACCAACAAAAGTTGGTAGACCTTTGTGAGGAAGTAAAGGGATGGAGGGCTGGTATCCCCAAAGTCTTTCTCTACGAGTCTGGCCCAAAATCAATGCCAGGGCGACCCGGAGTAGCTACCGTGGGATCAGGCCCGCCGTCTGGGATGATGACTAGACCCCCTACGGCGCAAGGAAGGCTGGCACAGGCGGCTCGCACTAGGGGACAAGTCAAGGCCAGTGCAAACCAAGAACCTCCACGGAAAGAGCCGGAGCCCAAGAAGAGAAAGGAAGCCGTAGCGGTAGAGGATGAGGAGGAGGAGGAAGAGGAGGACGAAAGGCTACGCCAGGAAGAGGACCAGAGGGCGGAGCAAAGGGCTACGAAAAGTTAGGCCAGGGAAGAAGTTGAACCCAGTCTACGCGATGTGGCACCAAAGAAGAAGTATGCGGTTCGGCTGGAGGAGGGGTTCGACGTAGAAAGGGTGATTGATAGGTTGTTGGAAGGCCATAACGACCTTATGACCCTAAAAGAGATTTTGGTGTCGGCTCCTAAGCTTCGTGATGGATTGAAGGGGAGGTTGTCATGACGCCTGGTGCCAAGTGTCCATTTGAGCGTGATTCTGCCGAAGGAGGCGGAATAGGCAGAGACCGGAACAAAGATGGATTGGAAGTGTGTGGCATGCGGTATGGTGGATTTGGTGGTAAAGGCCTCCAAGTGCGTGACGATGGTGGACACAGGAGCAGAAATGAATATTATCCGAGAAGCTGACGCGATCAGGTTCGGATTAGAGATAGACCGCTTGGATTGCGGTATCTTGCATGGGGCTAATTGCAAAGTAGTGTTTTGTGGGACAGCCTCGAACGTACTCATCGAGGTTGGGAGAGTGAAAGCCAGGGCAACTTCTTTGTCATGCCAAACGTGGACCATGGCATTCTCCTGGGAAGGTCATTCTTATGCAGGACAAAAACGTTGATGTTTAATAAACACGATGGAACTCTGATCTAATTATGTGTGATCCAGCATGTGGGAATTATGAAGTAATCACCTGCCGGAACACCGGTCCACGGAGTATAAGGAACCGGCCTAATCCTGGATCGTTTACTATCGAAGAGTCTGAGGAGGAGCGTCGAAGGCTCGTTATGGAGCCAGAGGAGGAAGGAAGGGGTGAGGCGTTCTCCCTCAGCCTATCAGACGTAAACAAGGCCATGGATATAGTGGCCACGCATGAGATGGCGGATCCAGACGCCATCCAAGCGTTGAGGGAGTAGGTCCTGGAGTATCCCCAGGCTGGGGAACTGGAATTGGTCTATCGACTTTCGGGTGGAAGGAGGGGCCCTGCTATGATGCACGCACAAGCAGTAAGCCGACCTTTTTTAGGGGTCGACTCAAGCAGGGTTCCCAAAGGCGGTACAAAACGATAGACAAGAAGTGTCGCCCCGTTGCCGTTCTCGTCACAGAAGATGAGGAGGTCTATTATGAATGGGAACGAGGATTGATACGGCGCATGAGAGAACAGGCGGCGGCGGGGCCGTGCCGTATCAATGAAGAAAATGAGAATTTGATAGTGGGAGAGTCGGAGTTCCTGCTACCCCGGGAGAGGGCGCTGATGGTAGAGCTAATGAAGAAGAGACATCGCGCCTATGCATTCGACGACGATCAGTGAGGGCGATTGGACGTGGACAAGATCCCCATGATCTGGATACATACCGTGCCGCATGAGCCATGGAATTTGAGAGGGGCACGGTGTCGAGCGCATCGGCTCCCGCCTTTTCGCAAAGGCGAGAGCCCTCCCGGCTATGTCACGCAGGAGTTAAAACAAAACAAAATCAAGAGACAACTTAGGACGATGCATAAATAATCCCGCGAACCGCCGAGACGAACGCGGTTGCATTGTCCCTTCGTCGCTCTAGCCGGGTGCGCCAGCTGTACATCCCACGGTCCCCTACGACAGGATAGGTTTTCGTGGGGCACATCTTACCTTCCCTAAGGGGCTGTCACCACCCTCAGGGGCGTATCCCTACCGAGCTACTGACCCACGTGTGAAAACTTTTACATGCAATTGCAGAGGTAGGTCAGCCGAGGGTGTTTGCTCGCTAGCCGGAGTATAGGTACGCGGAGTCTAATATTAACGAAAGATTAGGAAGGACAACCTAACCTTCAACTTACGGTTAGGTCTGTCGACACTTATCAATCTCTGTCAGGAATGACTTTTGTAAGTAAACTCCACTGCTACCATGTAGATCAACAAGTGATCTGGTTCCTGACCGAAGTTTGAACTCTTGGTTCGACCCCACCTCCGTATCATATGTAACTTGCTTGGAGGAAAGTATTATCTAGCGAATAAAAATTTCGTTGGTTGCTTTGTCCTCCTGGGCAATAATTACTCTTTCTGTTCCACGAATGATGGAGTACCCATCTACATTATTAGGTCATTCAAAACAAAACCACAGTCGTTATGACCGCGCAAAGAGAACCATCACATTCATGTCCTACTCCTTCTTGTGGGCTGCAGCTTCTTCTGCCTCCGACACGCACCTATCCCTCTAGGAAGTGGTCTTGTGGATACTCCTTCCCCTCGCCCAAGCCCGAAGACTCGGATCTCAGAGGTTGGGCCGTCACCACCGAGTCGGCAGAGTACCACCCCCGACAAATCGGGTCCAGTCCAAGTCGTTAACAGGGCCGGCTCCGAAAGCATACGAACCCCCGCCTTGGATGCTTCCTAGAGAGAAAGGCTGTGTCCGCCACGAGTAGTTTTTTTTTTAATCCTCATTACTCATAAGTTTTGGGTAACTAAAAAAAAATTGAGGAAGATAGACAACGAGGATCATTTGGACAAGTATAGGTAGATAAGGTCGTTCGGGATAGGAGAAGTCAATCACGGAGAGAGAGCTAAATCCGTTTGACTTTTTCTGCTCCAAGTTTATTTCAATTGAAATCATTTTATGATGCATACAGAGCCAAGTTTTTCAAAATAATGAATTTTTTTTGTCATGCAGGCGGGTGAGAAGTAAAGAAAAAACAATCCTCTTCTCTTTTCTCCAACAGGTATAATCAATCTCCTTTGCAAGCACCCTTCTACCTACCTGCACAACATGCAAAAAAAACAAGTTCAAGAGAAAACAGTACAATCCTAGGCTCACGTCAGACCTTCCCATCCACATGCATGACTCTTACAATTTTCTCTACCTTTTCCTTCGAATATTCAAACGAACTGGGTCAAGCAAAGTGTGGGTTCACACAGGTGTGAAGAGAGGTATGAGTCATTCTACTAACTGGCCTTGAGTGAAATTTGATCCGGCTCACTCAAGAAAATCGAGTAATAGGCTAATCAAGGAAAAATGACCGCCGCAGAACATGCGGCTCACAACTCCACAAGTTGTAGTCGTTTCATTGAACAATGGTCCGCCGTCTTCTCCAAGCGCCTGATCACACCAAGGTTGGGTCCACTGAGATGTCTGAATGAGATAACCCTCTAGGAGGGTGCTCCCATGATCAACCTCACGTCATCCCACATCCCGTACCGTCCTAACACAGTCCCATTGCACCACAACCTCCCAGGCCGTCCCAATGCCATACCAACTTCACCACGTCATCCAAGAATCCTCCCCGACCGGCCGCAAGTCCACGCCGCCTCCAAGCACCACGTCCGCTCACAATAGCCACACCAATATGCTGGTCCTGATCACAACAACCAGTCCCACCTAGTCCCAAAATGGTCCCATACTATCGCCCGGAATACCAGATGGTCTCAAACTCAAACCCCGCTTGCACTGCGCGCCACAAAAAAAATAAAGGTGGCCTCTGGTGAAACCCGCAGGTGTTGCGAGTCCCATAATTACTTCGCTGCGTGCAACCGCTCTGCACTTCCTGCCTGCCATCGGCCCATCTTCTGCCGCACAGTCACAACCACGCACCCCACCAAAGTGCCGCTCCCGCCACCGCCGTGGAAAACCGGCAGCGCTTCTGCACCACTGCCATTAAAACCAATGCCGCCGCCACAAAAATTCGACAGCGCTTCCGCACCACCGCCACTAAACCCGGTGCTGTCGCCGCAAAAATTATGCAGCACTTCCGCAGTACGTCAACAAAATTACAGTTGCCGCCGTGCAAACCGGGCAGTGTCTCCCCTGCACCGCTTGCTGAAGACCTGCCGCCGCCGTGCAAAACGGGCAGAGTCTCCCCTGCACCGCTTGCTGAAGACCTGCCGCCGCCGTGCAAAACGGGCAGTCTCCCCCGTACCGCTTGCTGAAAACCTGCCGCCGCCGTGCAAAACGGGCAGAGTCTCCCCTGCACCGCTTGCCAAAAACTGCTGCCGCCGCGTTGTGCAGGCAGCACCCACTGGCACCACGCAGCATGGTGGCTATGGCAGCCTCTCCCTTCCCCTCTCACTGCAGACCTCTACTCTCCACTCCAGCATCCCCACCGGCAGCACCGCCGCTCTCCAGCAGCATACAGCAGCCAGCCAGCCT